CAACTGCCAACAGAAATTCATGCCCAACGTGTGTCTAAGGCCTCCCATTTTAGGCTTTGGTGGAAAAACCAAGAACTCTCCTGCTCCTTGAAAACAGCGGCCGAGAGAACCTAAGTCTCCCTGACTCCAAAAGAAACACTCTTCCTCCTGAAAGGATACCCTACGCAGGAAACATACACTCTCCCACACGTCTACGACAGTGACGCCTCATCTGATAGAAGTCATGCCTCAAAGGGAGGCCGATCAACTAACAACACACCCAGGTACGTCCACTGGGCTGAGGAAATTTGTCTAACGCAAGTATCCTGCGACACTTTCCAAGCTGGTGCCCTGGAAGATAGGAGGATGGGGATCCGTTCAACTTGTAGATCACTCAGCACGCCGTGGTAGTGGCAAAGTGCTGGACCTCAGTACCGATGAAAACGACGGTTGTGAGTTTTCACTCATTTTGTTCAGCTTTCCAAGGAATGTTTATATGAGAAACTCATCATCGATCCAAGCACATGCCCAAACCCTGAAAACGGAACGCCCCAGGATGACTGATGGGCAGTGGGCAACGGGATGACCTGAAATGCCACCAGCACCCCGCACAAGCCAGGGACGCATCACCGAGCTCCAGGACTCCACTCTCCAAGCTACAAGGGGAAGATGGCACACCATTAGCGGCCTGCCGAGACACGGCTTTCGGGGGATCTGCACATTCCTCAAACACGACAGGACCAGGGCAAAAGAATGCTTACCATTTGGAGACATCCACCAGGACGGGGAGCACAGCAGGACACAATGATTCCAGGATCTGCAGAAGCTCTGACCCTCCGAAGAAATGGACATCTGCCATCCCGGCAGGCGGCCGGCAAACCACTGCAACTCCCCCTGAGAAGCAGAAGCAAATCATAGGAGCCCTAGGACACCGCTCCCCACTTCAACGTCATGTTGTTCCAAGGGCCCACTGGCAGGTCTGCTTTCCCCCTGGCCTCCAGGATGGAGAAGCCCACCATTATAGGTTCGCATAGCAAATCTACGGACACCTGTGTCATGTGAGTGGGCTTCTAACGTCAAAGCCCGGGCACCAAAAGCCTGGGTGTGACTGGGGGTTAGTATTTCCTACCCTCAATTGCACGTGTGTTCGCAAAACACCAAGGCCCATTCTTAGCCGACGATACCCAGGCCCAATCCCCCGGAGGACTACCGCGCCAGAGGATGACTTTTTGTTACACGACTTCGCCTCTGTCCCTGCGACCATGAGGAGCCAGGCAAGTGTTACTCGCCAAAAAGCCTCCCCTTCGGAATGAAGGCCCAGGTCTGCTGGGTGCACACACCCCTACTCCCAGGAGATTAATGAAGCCTGACAAGGTACTGACTTCGCCCACTCTGTCACCAAAACCTGTCCCCAAAACAGGCACACCTGTCACCAAAACAGGCACCCTCGGCACCACCACGGCCCGGCTGTCACTCTTGGAATCTGCCTATAGGGCACAGTGGCCGCCCTAGTTGGACACATTTGTGAAGGGCACAGACCTCCTGCACCAACTTCGTCAACGTTCCCCGAAGAGCCTGTTGAAAAACAACTTGGACTGGACACTTTTGAACCACACCTATCAGCCTGCATGATCTCAACCTAAGGAGTCAACTCACTGTATATGTCGAACTGGGGGCCTGAGAAAAAAGACATCCCGCCTTCCAAGATCACATCGCCCAGACCAGAAGCACCACCCCTTATCCACCAGGTACACAGACCACACAGGGCCTGCCTGCAGTAACTTCCTGGCCACTGGCAGATAAACAGCTATTGTAAAGAACTACTATTCTTACGGCGAAAATCAACACCCCCTTCGTAACCTCCCGGAGCACTTCATGCAAACAGAGACTCAGAGAGCTACCGGGGACCTTCACCATTTCTCAGTCAACTGCTTGTAACCCAACTTATTGATAGAACTTTACCACGGGAGGAAGGCCAATTCCTCAAGACAGCTCAAGCAGGCGATCATTCCAAGTACAAAGACGAAGTACAGCCTTCAACGGATTCACAGCTAGGGGACACAAAGCCATCGCCAACTGAAGCCTTCTTCGCTGCACGTCGACTGGAATTGGGCGTGGCTGCTCAGGCTGGAAGCAGACCTCCAGCAATATAACCAAAGTCCACTACGCCTCAGAGAAGGGGCTCAGGATGTGAAGCGCGTATTTCCTTGACACACTTTCAAGTTTGAAACTTCCTGGAAAAAGCAAAGAAGAAAGACAGGAGATAGAGGTTCACATGCACACCCGCTCGGGGGCTGCCCACTGAGACTGCGCCTAAGGGCCCATTTGTTCAGCTTGGGACCAATGACTCTGCGGTCACACATCCGAAGTGAAGCATGCCCCGTGACCCGGTTTGAGGGACAAAGACTACCAGCCGATTCCGCAGATACTCTATGGCAGACGCCCAGTGATTCACACCAATCCAGGAGAAGCCCACCACTACTGAATGATGCCCCAATCTGCCCAAGCACAGCTGTCCCCACGAGGATTGTCCCCGTCTTTTTCTGGCATTCCGACTTGCCGAAATCTCCGGCCATCCCACCTAGGAGCTCGCGCGTGCCTGTGAGGTGAAAGGCGGGCCCTACCGGTGACTAGTCCCTGGATGGAAGGCCGATGGAGAACAGTTGGGCCACTGGAGAACACCCCCTTCTCACACATCGCCCCCATCACCATGAACACTGCCTCCTACTCTTACACCCAGGAGAAAATCATGACTAAGGCCCATCGGAGGCCTGGGTTCCAAGGAGTCAGCGGGAAAGTCAGAGGCTCACCGCGCCTTCAAAAACAGGCCTTGAAGTCCCTTGAATGCATCACACGGTGCATCGCTATACCGGGAACACTGGACATCCTTACAGATTCCCTAGGCTAGGCCAGCTGCATGCTCGCCCACCCCTACAATCCACATGCCTGCTTGGATAGAAGCCATACCTTACCGAGAGGCCAGACAACGCACAACACGCCCACCCCTCAGAAATGCCTCCTGCACTGAGGACATTTGCCTAAAGTACCTACTGCGGGACACGTTCCAGTGCTGGCGCCCCAGGTAGGTGCTGGACGGAATGTTCAACCGGGAAAGTGGGACCTCACTCTTGCAGGCTTTGGTGGAGGCAATGTGCTGGACCTCAGTTGCGATGAGGATGACGGTTGTGAGTTTTCACTCATTTTGTTCAGCTTTTCCAAGGAATGTTTTTTTGGGATACTCATCATCGATCCAAGCACATGCCAAGACCCGGGAAATGGAAAAGCCCAGGATGGCTGCTGGGAAATGCACGGCCGGATGACCTTAAACACCACCAGCATCGTGGACAAGCCACGCATTCACCACCCAGCACTACGTCTGACAATCCACTCTAAGAGTGGAATGCGGCGTGCCATCATTGACCCATGGAGAAACACATTGCTGCAGGTCTACAAATCTTCAAGACCATGTCGGCAGGAGGCCTAAAGCACACTTACCATCCTGTGCTATCCACCAGCACAAGGCGCACCCCAGGCAACACCGACGCTTGTTTTCCACGCACATGCTGCCCCTCGGAGGACCTGGACATCTGAACTCCAAGCCGATGACAGGTCTTCACAGGAAGTCACCCTGAGAAGTGGAAGCAAGCAAATCATAGGCGCGGTTGAGGAAGAAGCCGAAGGACACAAGCTGTAACTTCCACCGCTCCTTTCCCGTGTGTCAACTCTCAGGTCTGCATCTCATTGACTTCTATTATAAGCGGTGGTCTCCAGGAATACCCTCTCCTTACGTCACTCAGGACACTGAATGTCCACGGGAGGGGGCCCACCTGCTTGGGCTAAAGGGGAAACTGCTCTGCCGTGGCTACAAGTGTGTAGTCTGTTCCCTAAAAACACGTGAACTTGTGAACCACTGAAAAGCCAGTCACCGTCTAGGCCATCACGGCTTGACACCCAGGAAGCCAACCTAAGCAGATCAGGGTCTGCATCCACAAGGATGTCAACAAGGACTTCAGAGGAATGGGAAACGTAGCCAGAGATTCCCTGCTTGGGGACTCCCAACTACACGGAATATCCACGTCCGCTGGGTGTCCGTACAGATTCAAACCGGAATTCACAGCTTCACGAGAATACACTGTCTCTGGTTGCTGGACCCGAAACACTGCAACTGCTAGTCAGACAGTCCCACTGGACATTTGAGAGCGTCTCGCAGACAGCCCACATGTCGTTTTGTGTCACTGCCTCAAGCTCACAGGACACAAAGCCAATGGGAAAAACGTAGCACCCCCAGACCTGCAACTCAAAACCACTTTCAAACCACCGACATCGGTTCAGGGATTCGTAGACAAACCAAGGAACCGTTCCTGACTTCAGCGCTTTCCACACAACGTTTCTGTGGCTCCGTGCCTCTCTGGAACTTCCTACAAGGTGACAGGTGAAACTCGCCATTGCCTTCATGTCGAAAGGATATTTAAACCTTCAGCGTAGCTACTGAAGTACCACCCTGAGGAATACTGAGTTAGAGCCTTCTCCGTGAGTGTGCCCCTCAGATGACACTCACCTTGCCAAAACAACAGAACAATCACCAGGGGCAAACCAAAGGAATCCGGGAACTACTGGAAAACACGAATCAGACAAGAGGATATTTCCTTTCTGAGTCTTCCAATATCGATGGTTTCAAGAGAACGAAAATAGCAAAAGAAGAAGAATAAATTCTAGCAACAGATACCCACGCATGCTGTAATATTAACAATGCAAAGCCGTGGCACGCTAGTGGACATGTTTGGCCCTCAAGGGATTCAAGCCCAGGGCCAAACAGTCTGGACTCACCACAGGAAGTGATCAGTACCCCATGTGACGAGAAGATGTATGCTGGCCTATCTTCCGCCTCGAAGACACTCAGTGGCCAATTCACATGAAACACACACAAATCCACGGGAAATCCATGACGGCCGGGTCATGCCTCAGGACCGGCCATACATAGGTGAATCTGGAAGGAATCTACCAACATTTATCCGTTGTTCAATTAGGCCCAATTCATCAGCTTTCACAACATGGACTCTCTCTTACTTGTAAACATGCCAAGGTAGGGATTCCTAGTGACTGGTTGCTGATTGGAGGGCTATTAGATAGCATTCAGCAAAACATCACCCATTGGTCTTCCTTCTCCATTACCTCAAACACCTCCCTCTATTCCAACTGCCAACAGAAATTCATGCCCAACGTGTGTCTAAGGCCTCCCATTTTAGGCTTTGGTGGAAAAACCAAGAACTCTCCTGCTCCTTGAAAACAGCGGCCGAGAGAACCTAAGTCTCCCTGACTCCAAGGGAAACACTCTTCCTCCTGAAAGGATACCCTACGCAGGCAACAAACACTCTCCCTCACGTCTACGACACTGACGCCTCATCTGATAGAAGTCATGCCTCAAAGGGAGGCCGATCAACTAGCAACACACCCAGGTACGTCCACTGGGCTGAGGAAATTTGTCTAACGCAAGTATCCTGCGACACTTTCCAAGCTGGTGCCCTGGAAGATAGGAGGAATGGGGACCCGTTCAACTTGAAGATCACTCAGCAGGCCGTGGTAGTGGCAAAGTGCTGGACCTCAGTACCGATGAGAACGACGGTTGTGAGTTTTCACTCATTTTGTTCAGCTTTCCAAGGAATGTTTATATGAGAAACTCATCATCGATCCAAGCACATGCCCAAACCCTGAAAACGGAACGCCCCAGGATGACTGATGGGCAGTGGGCAACGGGATGACCTGAAATGCCACCAGCACCCCGCACAAGCCAGGGACGCATCACCGAGCTCCAGGACTCCACTCTCCAAGCTACAAGGGGAAGATGGCACACCATTAGCGGCCTGCCGAGACATGGCTTTCGGGGGATCTGCACATTCCTCAAACACGACAGGACCAGGGCAAAAGAATGCTTACCATTTGGAGACATCCACCAGGACGGGGAGCACAGCAGGACACAATGATTCCAGGATCTGCAGAAGCTCTGACCCTCCGAAGAAATGGACATCTGCCATCCCGGCAGGCGGCCGGCAAACCACTGCAACTCCCCCTGAGAAGCAGAAGCAAATCATAGGAGCCCTAGGACACCGCTCCCCACTTCAACGTCATGTTGTTCCAAGGGCCCACTGGCAGGTCTGCTTTTACCCCTGGCCTCCAGGATGGAGAAGCCCACCATTATAGGTTCGCATAGCAAATCTACGGACACCTGTGTCATGTGAGTGGGCTTCTAACGTCAAAGCCCGGGCACCAAAAGCCTGGGTGTGACTGGGGGTTAGTATTTCCTACCCTCAATTGCACGTGTGTTCGCAAAACACCAAGGCCCATTCTTAGCCGACGATACCCAGGCCCAATCCCCCGGAGGACTACCGCGCCAGAGGATGACTTTTTGTTACACGACTTCGCCTCTGTCCCTGCGACCATGAGGAGCCAGGCAAGTGTTACTCGCCAAAAAGCCTCCCCTTCGGAATGAAGGCCCAGGTCTGCTGGATGCACACACCCCTACTCCCAGGAGATTAATGAAGCCTGACAAGGTACTGACTTCGCCCACTCTGTCACCAAAACCTGTCCCCAAAACAGGCACACCTGTCACCAAAACAGGCACCCTCGGCACCACCACGGCCCGGCTGTCACTCTTGGAATCTGCCTATAGGGCACAGTGGCCGCCCTAGTTGGACACATTTGTGAAGGGCACAGACCTCCTGCACCAACTTCGTCAACGTTCCCCGAAGAGCCTGTTGAAAAACAACTTGGACTGGACACTTTTGAACCACACCTATCAGCCTGCATGATCTCAACCTAAGGAGTCAACTCACTGTCTATGTCGACCTGGGGGCCTGAGAAAAAAGACATCCCGCCTTCCAAGATCACATCGCCCAGACCAGAAGCACCACCCCCTGTCCACCTGGTACACAGACCCCAAAGGGCCTGCCTGCAGTAACTTCCTGGCCACTGGCAGATAAACAGCTATTGTGAACAACGACTATTCTTACGGCGAAAATCAACACCCCCTCCGTAACCTCCCGGAGCACTTCCTGCAAACAGAGACTCAGAGAGCTACCGGGGACCTTCACCATTTCTCAGTCAACTGCTTGTAACCCAACTTATTCATAGAACTTTACCACGGAAGGAAGGCCAATTCCTCAAGACAGCTCAAGCAGGCGATCATTCCAAGTACAAAGACGAAGTACAGCCTTCAACGGATTCACAGCTAGGGGACACAAAGCCATCCCCAACTGAAGCCTTCTTCGCTGCACGTCCACTGGGATTGGGAGTGGCTGCTCAGGCTGGAAGCAGACCTCCAGCAATATAACCAAAGTCCACTACGCCTCAGAGAAGGGGCTCAGGATGTGAAGCGCGTATTTCCTTGACACACTTTCAAGTTTGAAACTTCCTGGAAAAAGCAAAGAAGAAAGACAGGAGATAGAGGTTCACATGCACACCCGCTCGGGGGCTGCCCACTGAGACTGCGCCTAAGGGCCCATTTGTTCAGCTTGGGACCGAGGATTCTGCCGTCACACATCCGAAGTGAAGCATGGCCCCGTGAACCGGTTTGAGTGACAAAAGATTTCCAGCCGATTCCGCAGATACTCTGTGGCAGACGCCCAGTGATTCACACCAATCCAGGAGAAGCCCACCACTACTGAATGATGCCCCAATCTGCCCAAGCACAGCTGTCCCCACGAGGATTGTCCCCGTCTTTTTCTGGCATTCCGACTTGCCGAAATCTCCGGCCATCCCACCTAGGAGCTCGCGCGTGCCTGTGAGGTGAAAGGCGGGGCCTACCGGTGACTAGTCCCTGGATGGAAGGCCGATGGAGAACAGGTGGGCCACTGGAGAACACCCCCTTCTCACACATCGCCCCCATCACCATGAACACTGCCTCCTACTCTTACACCCAGGAGAAAATCATGACTAAGGCCCATCCGAGGCCTGGGTTCCAAGGAGTCAGCGGGAAAGTCAGAGGCTCATCCGCGCCTTCAAAAACAGGCCTTGAAGTCCCAACGGTGCATCGCTATACCGGGAACACTGGACATCCTTACAGATTCCCTAGGCTAGGCCAGCTGCATGCTCGCCCACCCCTACAATCCATATGCCTGCTTGGATAGAAGCCACGCCTTACCGAGAGGCCAGACAACGCACAACACGCCCACCCCTCAGGAATGCCTCCTGCACTGAGGACATTTGCCTAAAGTACCTACTGCGGGACACGTTCCAGTGCTGGCGCCCCAGGTAGGTGCTGGACGGAATGTTCAACCGGGAAAGTGGGACCTCACTCTTGCAGGCTTTGGTGGAGGCAATGTGCTGGACCTCAGTTGCGATGAGGATGACGGTTGTGAGTTTTCACTCATTTTGTTCAGCTTTTCCAAGGAATGTTTTTTTGGGATACTCATCATCGATCCAAGCACATGCCAAGACCCGGGAAATGGAAAAGCCCAGGATGGCTGCTGGGAAATGCACGGCCGGATGACCTTAAACACCACCAGCATCGTGGACAAGCCACGCATTCACCACCCAGCACTACGTCTGACAATCCACTCTAAGAGTGGAATGCGGCGTGCCATCATTGACCCATGGAGAAACACATTGCTGCAGGTCTACAAATCTTCAAGACCATGTCGGCAGGAGGCCTAAAGCACACTTACCATCCTGTGCTATCCACCAGCACAAGGCGCACCCCAGGCAACACCGACGCTTGTTTTCCACGCACATGCTGCCCCTCGGAGGACCTGGACATCTGAACTCCAAGCCGATGACAGGTCTTCACAGGAAGTCACCCTGAGAAGTGGAAGCAAGCAAATCATAGGCGCGGTTGAGGAAGAAGCCGAAGGACACAAGCTGTAACTTCCACCGCTCCTTTCCC